CCCCGCGCCTCGGCCACAGGCACCGCCGCGGGCAAAGAACCCACGCGCGGGAGCAACGTCACCCGCTGGAGGGAGCCCGAGGGTCACCTGTGGTCGTGCCAGGGTCCCGCGAGCTCCATGGAGGGAGATGTAGGAATAAGCAGGGTGACTTTGGAGGGCAAAGGTGCATCTGCCTGGAGATCTGTGTACACACACAAAAAAGACTGTTATTATTATTACTAAAGCTAACGAGCCCCGCTGTTCCAGGAGCCCCTGGATCTGCAGGAAGGCTTGGATGGTGCAGAAAGGAGGATGGTAACAGCTTCCAGATCACTGGAAAAGTGGGTGCTCCTCCAGGAATATCACCCTTGCTCCCCTGTTACTCAGCAGCAGGATTTTAATACAGTTTTCCACGTTCCTGCCTCATATTTCATTGTCCCCAGTACTTTATGTAAGTCTTCCTCCCAAAATTGGGATGTCCCCATTGCATCCATAACAGAAACACAGAAAGGGAATGTTTCCTCTTCCTATTCCTTCTGAAAAAGGGTGGCAAAAGTCATCAGCTTGAGCACACAGCACCTCGAGGCCTAAACACTGATCAACAGCTTTCCTTAAAAGCCACTGGATTTGTACTTTTGTTGCTCAGCATGCCATAGGATCCCTTCTAAGAGAGCAAGGAATTATACCAATTTATCCAGAATATTCATCAGGAGAAAAGCAATGTTCCTCCATCTGCTATCAAGATATAGCACTGCAAATATATTTGGATATCTTGATATTCACAATGTCAAGTCTTGATAGCAGATGAGGAATTCCAAGATATTTGTGGCGCCAGCCGTGGGCTCCCTACAGCCTTCCCCTTGGTGTGACTGTGCTGCGCTTGCAGCTCAATGAGGTGTGAGCTGGGGCCATGACGCTTCCCCCAGCCCATTGCAGGTGCCGCAAATAAATACAGGAGATTGCTCTTAAACCCCCGCTTTAGGGTGGTTATTGCAGATGCAATTTCTGTCTTAACATAAATCAAAGCACTCCAAGTGCTATATGACACCAAATGCTTAGTTTAACTGCATAAAATTGAGCTAAAACTCATGTAGCACTTTATAGGGGCTATAAAATCCTCGTGCTGGGGGCCTCACCTTTCTGCATCACCCGGATCAATCAAATTCCCTCCATGTCCAGGACAGTAAATGCTCACGTGAGGCCACGATTAGCTTGGGCAGCTTCGTTCGTCTAAGTTATTGCTGTCTTCAGTGAAGCCGTTTCAAAACGTGAAAAAACTGCAGAGAAATGGGAACTGCATTTAGCATGATTAAATTCACTTTATCATTAGCCTATTAGCTATCCTCTGCAAGAAAAACCTGAGACTTTCATAACAGGTCGTTAATGCATGCAGGAGCCAAAGGCCTGCCATGCACAGGCATGAAAACATTTTTTTTTTTTTTTGGAAAACATTTCATACATTAAGGAAGACGCTATGAAAAGCTCCCTGTGTGCTGTACTCTTCCTCTCTTACTCCTAGATATTACTGGACTTACGTACCCTCTCCTTAAGACATGTCTAGTTTCTATAAACTCTTTTTCTTTGAGGAGAAAAAAAAAAAACGCGGAAAATGTCAGTATTTTTTCCCCCCAGAAATCCATCTGAGACCAAAGATCCTGGCCCAAGGAACCTCCTGAGCTTGGAGAGGTCGCTCTGCCAGGGCAAACACGTCCTGCCCACTCCGCCAACAGCACATAACCAAGCCCCGCAGGTTCATCACTGCTTTTCAATAAGCTAATCAACAAAAAGGCATCCTCATACAGCCCCAAATTCTGAGCCCCCTGACGATTCCCCAAGGTAGGAATGTGGCAGGCAGTTTCAAAAGTAAAATCTTCTATAAAGAAAAGCCAGGACAGTGCTCATGGCTTGCACGCCGGAGGAGACAGACGCAGCAGATCTGTGTCATTTTGAAGAACAAACGTGTGTTTCCTGCAAAGCTTAACTCAGCATGCTCGTTTTTATCCTCTCATGTGTGCAATGAGTTTCCACAGAGCAGCTGAAATTCTCCCATAATGGCTATGGAGAGGGATTGTGGGAAAACAGAGAGGAGGAGGGAACAACCAAGAGGCCCCACCACCTCTTCTCCATGCAGGTTTCTCTCCCTTCTCCTTTACCTGGCAATCTTCCCAGGTAATCCTTATACCCTCACCTCTCCACCTTTACCACAACATTCCCAGGTGCTGCCTATCTCTCACCAAGTGTTCCCTGTTAACCCCTAATGGTTGGCCTCAGAAAATCATTTTATGCAATCCATACTATTATTTTCATCCCTCGCCAACCTTTCTTCCTATTTCTTATTCCTACATTTTCCCCTTTTTAGTTTAGTAATGATTAAATTCCTATTCCTACCTTTCTATTCCAAAGTATCAATCTCGTAGAGCTTCTGAGGCTCAGCATCCTGTTTTCCCTTTTTATTTTCTTTCGCACTGCCCCTTAATTCTTCTTCCTTTTTATCTTCCCTTTTTCCTCTCCTTATTCAGTAACTAAAGCTTCTGAGGCTTGTTCCCACGTGGCTAGAGCTTCCCCAGCCTGCACTCCCACGTATTCCTGAGTGTCCAGAGCTTCTGAGGCCATGCTCATCCCACGTAGCTCAGCACCTTGTTACCATTTACGTTGTTTCCTGTTCATCCTGTCGAGCTTGTTTCTCCACACAATCTTCTAGAGCTTCTGAGGCTCGCATCCCGCATGGCTCACACAACCCTCTAGAGCTTCTCTTATCATCCAGGGTTCAGATCCCTGTTCAGGCACCATTTTTTGGGAAAACAGAGGCAACAACCAAAAGGCCTCCTCCATCCAGGACATCTTTTCTCTCTCTTTACCTTTAGGAGTCTTCCCAGGTGATCCTTATACCCTCACGTCTCTACCTTTACCACAGCCTTCCCAGGTGCTGCTTATATCTCACCAAGTGTTCCTTGTTAACCCATAATGGTTGGCCTCAGAAAATCCTTTTATCCATCAAGCAATCAGCATTATTATTTTCATCCCTGGCCACCCTTTCTTCCTATTCCTTATTCCTACAGGGGATATCAGGCATTCAGAGGAGACAAAACAAGGTTCATCAGCAGCTGATCAGTACTCAGGTCTACGTCTGGAGCCAGTCATAACCTGTATCTCGAGCCAGGGAGGATACTCAGAAATTTTGGCTTTGGGGACCATGCTTGAATTACCAGATAACACCTGCACATTGCTCAACACACAATTTTCCCTTTGTGCCTGCACAAGTTTTCCTCAAGACAGTCATAACTGCTTCCCCCTTGCTGTGGCAAACAGCTTTGAACAACTGCTGCTTAAAAACCTCCCATGACTTACATATACATATTTATATGTGATTATAGTTATAATAGGAAGAGGGCTCTAATCCCTAGACTGAACCGAAACAGTTGCTCACTACTCCATTAGCAAGAAACAGCTTTGAACAACACTGCTGCTTAAAAACCTCTCATGACTTATATATACATATTTATATATAATTATAGTTATAATTGAAAGATGGCTCTAATCCATAGACCGAACCAAAACAGTTGCTCACTACTCCATTAGCAAAATAGGCATTTTCAGAGTCTTTATGGGACAGATGTGAAATACTGTGTGATGAAGCCCGGCGATTTGGGAAGGAAGCTTGGATTTGGATAGAAATGCTCCAAGGTCGGCCCAGCACGACCGCAGCGCTCGCCGGGCGAAGGGCCCTGCGGATGAGGAAGTTCCCACCCGTGCCCGTGCCGTCCTCGCGCGCTTTGTAAGTGACAACGTGCAGAAACGGAGACACACGCGAGAAAGAAACTCCTGCCCGCGCCGGGAATCGGGAGCCGGTGAAGCAGATCCGCAGACGGCAGCACCTCCTCTGCCCTCGAGTCACGGCCCTTCCTGGGGAGTCTCCAAGCCACCGCTGAGGAGGGTTTGGGGAGCTCCCCACACCCCAAACTGGAATCCAGAGCTGGGACAAATTCTCCAGCATCAGCTTTACGCAGTAGCACCAAAAAGCAGATAGGATATTTAGATTAAAAAGCATGATTCTTTCCTCATTGGCAAAGAAATGGAAATCAGTAGCTTATCAGCCTGGAGAGTGGGGAAGAAAATTCCACAAATTGATGATCAAAAGTAAAATGAAGACAAGATATTCTGCCGAAACAAGTGCTAAGGGGCTGGCAAGGGGGATGAAATACAGCAGTTCCTTTTTTACTTTCCTTCAAAGAGTGAATGAAAAATTATTCTGCTCAGCAAGAAATTCACCTGTAGCATAATTCAGAAAATACATTATTTCCTGTAGAAGCATCTTGCTCAACACTTGATTTCTCATCTTCATTCCTCAGCGATTACAATGCTTTGCATTTTTATGACACCTTGTGGTTTAGAACTGCAAACAGCTTCATAAATATTACTCACGGCAATAGAAAAAGAAATCAGATAGATTCCTGCTCCTTCACATAAATGACAAGTGAATAAATACAAGTTACACGGGTGACTAACCGAAATATGAGAATAACGTTCCTGGCGTTATGCAAGTAACACTGTGGCTGCAGACAGAGGTAACTGATAGGGCAAGGAGATGTTAGAGTGAACGTTATCTCTAGGTTTAAGTTTCAATGACAGGTCATTCTGGCTTTCTTGGCGTTGAAGATTTTACC